CCTAGCACTTTTCTCCCCCAGGCATTCATTCACTCAGGTATTTATCATGGGGAAAGCATCCTACTCAGTCTTTATTTTCCAGACTGAGCTCTGCTTACAAGGCAGATCCTCCTTCCCCCAGGCACAACTGCCCCCCTGGGGAGGGCTGCACTTATTTATTTTGGTTCAAACACCCAGGGGTGAGCAGGCACCCGGGTAATGGGTGCCCACCTGCAGACAAGGCTGACCCTGCCCCTCTCCAGTGCTCAGTAACCACAGGCTGGTGACAAACCACTGCCTTTGCTGAGTGGCTAACTCTCTTCAGCCCCACCACGTGAGGCGGTGAACAGTGGTGGCAAAACCTCCTCCTTTAGGGGTCCCAGCTGAGACAGAGCATGGAAGTGGTCCATGGGAGCTTGACCTGTGCCGTGAGCACTCCAGGAGAACTCCCACCCCACCCGGCATCACCCAGACCCCTCTGACCCAACCACTGTCCCACCACTCCACACAACCCAGCCCCAAGCCCTGAGCAGGCTCTGCACAGCCAGCTGGCCAAACACATCTCGAGATGTTTGGAAAAGGGATGTGGAACAGCAGAGGAAGCTCTCTGACACCCCAAACCTCCCCTTTTCTGGTTCTTTGATAATCTCAGGGGAAAAACGTGGCCACCCCATGAGAGACAGAGAGGCCACCAGGCTGTGGGTGCTCCCTGGGGTGCAGCCCCCACTGAGGGCAGGATTTGGGGAGGCCCAAACCCAAGGGGAAGGGTTCTCTGCACCCAGCAGGAGCTGGGAGCCATCTGAACAGCAGGATTTACTTACACTTCATCCACAGCATGTAAAATCTCCGAGCAGAAGAGGAGCCATATGGAAACGGTTTTGTGACAGGAATTTCAGCTCAATAAATCCATAAATTTGGCCTTATCTTTCTCTGGCATGTTCAAGGGTGTGTGTGTGTGTGTGCTTGTGTTGGGGAATGGGGGGGTTGCCTTCAAAACTGATGAATATGTTAAGATATACAAGAAAAGAAAAGCAACAATCAAACCCAAAGGTAGCATTGCTGTTCTGCTTGAGAGAATGCTTAGAAACCTGAAGGGGAGGATGAATGAATCAGCCTGTGATAAGCCAAAAGGAGATAAAGAGAAGACTTTTTGCAGAATAAAACATGTAATGCAGGCCAACTCTATATACAATTTGATGAGCAATAAAATGTTAGAATTAAATCATGATTAAGTTCCTAACCTATGTCATCACCATCACTGTGCAAGGAACAACCAGGGATCTAGGAGGCCAAAATCTTGTTCAAAGCTGTGATTCAAAGTGAACTTCACACCTCAAACACGTGTTATTTTTAAATCCTCTCAATAAGCAATTCCTAAAGCTGCTTTTGGCACACAGGGGGAAATAGGAATGAGCACAGTGACACAAAACACCATCCTGGGGTCTTTTAAATTGCCTTTACTGTGTGTCTTCACATGTAGCACAGGACTCACCTTCACAGGATTTGGCATCTGTCTTCAGCTGGTAGCCTGGCTGGCACTGGCACCTGTAGTGGTCCTCGCTGAGCTGAACACAGTCCTGCTCACAGCCCCCGTTGTTAATGCTGCAGGAATTGACAGCTGGAGCCAAGGAAGCAGGGAAGGAATGCACGTCAACAACCTGGGAGAACTTATTTCCTATTTTAAATACATAAATGACAGCAAAACCAGGCAAACCTCGCCAAACAGCTTTCAGAAATGCACCCGTGCCCTCCCCTGAGTGACTGCTCTCCCTTGTGCTCACAGAGCCTGGCTGACACAGCGTCCCACACCAGTGAAATCCTGATTCCAGGGAGAGGCAGGTGAGATCTAAGGGCTGCAATGCTGACTGAAGCACAGCACCCTTTGATCTGACAGCACCAAAGCACTGCCAATCCGCAGAGGCAAGGAGGGGAAAAAAGAACAGCCCTGCTGGCACTTGCCCATTGATTATCTTTTTCTCTCCTTGCTTTCATTGATTAAAAATAGTAATTGTCTTTCAGGCTGATTTCCTCAGCCTCATAAATAAAAAAATTCAAATAACAGAAGCCACAAGCTCTGCAGAACAGACTCACACAGCAAACCACAGGAACACAGGGTCCTCTGCACATCTTTAAAGATGCTGCTTCTTTCACCCAAGCAAATTAATATTCTTTTTTGTTCAACACATATCCCTGGCCTCTGGAGAAACATTTCTCCTCCTGACAAAACATGTTAACATACACCCACACCTATTCACACACTCTATGTAAAAATAAGAGTGATGGTTTGACTCTGCTATTGTGCTGTGCTGATGGAAGCGTGTGTGTGTGGCTGCATGGAGATTTCCACAGCAGGGATGTAGTATGGAGAGATTTCAATGAGATATTAGGAAGAAATTCTTGACTCTGAGGGTGGGGAGACCCTGGCACAGGGTACCCAGAGAAGCTGTGGCTGCTCCATCCCTGAAAGTGTCCAAGGCCAGGTTCAGTGGGGCTTGGAACAATCTGGAGTAGTGGAAGGGGTGGGACAGGGTAGGACTGGATGAGCTGTAAGCTCAAACAAAACCATTCTGGGATTCTGTGTTCTCTATAAGCAGCTGGAAAGATTATTTGGTCCATCATGGAATGCACCAAACTCTGAGCCCAATGAAGTCAGCAAAGAGCTTTGCTATTTATATTTTCATATTCATTTTAGCAATATTCATATTTCTTCATTTATCTGTAACAGACATTAGTAAATGTTAGCTGCAAAACCCGCTACAGGATTTGTTTCACCCTATGCCACCAATTAGCAAACACTGAGTTTGTGCAGTCAAGTACGTGCTAAAAAGGTGAAAAGAAAAGCAGATTTTTACATTCTCCTGGCTGCACACACAGCAGGAGGCAGGAGGCACCTCAGTGCCCAGAAACCTGACCCTGGCTTCTGACCTCCACCCGTGCCCACGAGCCTTCTGCCCTGCCAGGGACAGAACCTGACAGCAGCTCCTGTCTGCACAGGAGACAGCAGACCCCATACACTCTCAGCTTCCAGCCCCCTGCACATTTCTATCCAAAGACCTGTTTTTCAGCAAGAATATTCAAATAAGATGAAAATATTTCAGAAGACAAAAACATCTTAAATCCAAGTGACAGAATATACACGTAGGCTTTTAAAAGTGCCATTTTCTCCCTCTGCTTCTGGGCACCAGCCAACTTGGATGCAAGGGGAGATAAGCAGCAACCTGTCATGATGAGGGTTTGGGAGGATCTGAAGGTGGGAGGGGACAGGTGTGAAATCCACGTGTCCCAGCTTGGTGTGTGGCTGTGCCAGCAGCCAGGGGTTGCTCTGGAGCAGCCAGGGCAGGTTTGTCAGGGCTGCTGCTGAGGCACCAGGCTGGATCCGTGAGAGGAGGTGCCAGACTGAAGGAGAAGAGCCTCCAGGGACAGGACAGGATGGTGCTCGTGGCTGCCAGCAGCACGTCTCTGAGCAGAGAGAGACTTGGCACCTCGTGGGTCTGACTCCAGCTGTCACCAGGGGCCTGTGGCTGGAGGGATGAGCACCTCCACAGGCAGAAGTGTGGCCTGACAGTCACTTTCAAAGATTTACTCTTGGAGTTTGGTAGAAACCCAGCCCTGATGTGGGTTCCAGACAGGCTGGGGATGATGCCAGGTGATGCCAAGAGAGGGAGGGGGTATCTGGGAAGGGGGACAGTGACACCAGGTGAGAAAAACAAGGATCACAGAATGGTTTGGGTTCATCCTAAAGCCCATCTCATTCCACCCTCTGCCATGGCAGGGACACCTTCCACTGTCCCAGGCTGCTCCAAGCCCTGTCCAGCCTGGCCTTGGACCCTTCCTGGGATGGGGCAGCCACAGCTCCTCTGTGCCAGGGCTTCCTCACCCTGACAGGGGACAATTCCTTCCTAATATCCCAGTCTAACCCTGCTTTCTGTCAATTCAAAGCCTTTCTGCCTTGTCCTGTCACAACATGTCCTTGTAAAAACTCCCTCTCCAGCTCTCTCCTAGGCCCCTGATCTGATAACGGTTAAATACACAATTCTCAACCCATTATTTTTTATAATAAAGGTGATATTTTTACAAAGAGCTGTCTCTGAAGCCATGGTTAGGTACATGCATAGCAACCAGGGGGTTAGAACATGCAATCTCTTCCAACCTGTGTTTTACATCACCTTAAATCCAACCTTGGCAGTGAAAGAAATGTAACTTCAGACATACAGGGCTTATATTTACATTGGGAAACACAGATTATAGAGTTGCAGAGATATTTTCTTTGTTACTTTCTCAATATATAAGAGCCTTAGTATGCTAAAATCTCCATAAAAAACCTGAATCTCAACAGCTTCTCCACATTAAGCAGACATCAAAGGTAACAGCTGGCACCAGAGATGAATCAGGGTCTAATGGCTCTGCCCTGTTTCCACTTCTAGGAGTTCAAACAGGAATAAATTCCACTGAAGACAATGAATCTACAACAGTCCAAACCCACAGCCTGATACTACAATAAACATGCTCTTTCCGAGTTTCAGCTTTTCAGATACCAGCTGGTTAAACTCCAGTGAAGTCAAATCCATTGCATTAACATAATCAAGGCATTACAAACAAAGCAAACAAAAAAGTTGGACAGGGTTGAAGTGAATATTTGGTCTGGCACGTGTGTTTATAAATTAATTCAATGCTGAGTAAAATTTGTAGGACAAAAAAACTGAAGGAAGAAAAGGAGTGTTGAAAGAGATGGGATTTTATCACAGCACAAAGTACTGGGTAACATCAAGGGATGCAGGAATTAAGTAGTTTATTCTCACACACTGATCATCATTGAACAAATCAACTCACTCTGGAGATTTTTGGGTCTGAGCAGAGCATGAATAGAGTTCTCTGCCTTAGAGCATGAGCAGAATTTTCCAGTGAGAGCAGGAAGAATGGCAAAAGCAGATCTCCTCTCTCCATGTATTTTAAGGCTCATACTGGCAGAGGAGGGATGGACCACCAACAACTACTCAGGATCCCAAACACCCTGTGCTGGTGGCAGGAGGACCAGATTTACTGGAAAACTTGTGACAGCAGCTCAGTAATATTCCATGAACCACATCAGGAAGTATCTTATCCCAGGTTTTTGAGCCTTCAGATGCAGGCTGAATATCTTTTAAGATGAGAGATCCACTTCCTTATGTATGGGAGATTTCCAAGCCATCCAGGCTGCAAAATCTGCTTCCCCTCAAATGATTTTGGCACTTTTGTTCCCACAAACACAGGGTTGCCAAAAAAGAAAAGCAGGACGTGGAAAGAATGAACATAACAGCAATCTGGGCTGGGCTCCTCTGAAAAGCCTGTCTAGAGGGACTTTTGTTTCTTATTTCTGCAGCTGAGATAATCACCTTCCATAAACAGCTCAGTGCCAGAATGTGGTCCCTTTTCTTTCTCAGCATGCAGGAGAGATCCTTACATCCTCTGAAGTATCCATGGAAGAAATACCACTGCTAATCCAAGCCTGTTTGAAATGCTGGATGTTCTGCTTAGCTGCACTGGGTCAGAGGAGAGGGGCATTAGTGTTTGCTTCTCATCAGATGAGTGATGAAAGCTGAATGTACAACCTGGTGCTGCACAAGGGGCAAACTCTCCATCCCCAACAAGCAGCTACTGCCCAGATCCTGCTCCTAAGGCACTCCTGATTTATATGGAATGCTTCTCCCTGTCCTCATCAATTAGTAACTGTCTTGTTCTCCAATGCATGAGAGCTTATTATACCCATTTGTTTTGGTGTCTTGTCTAAACAGCTGGAACAGGACTCAATATCCTCCCTCAGTATCTTGTATATCCATTATCATGATAGCAGAGCTCTCTGAAATTCCTGCCTCCCATCTTAGGATTTATTTTTATTCCTCCTTGATAATTTCTGAGACATTGCAAACAAAGCTGGTCACTGTATGAAGTACTTTGAATAACTTCTTGAGAATATTTACATTTATGACATGAAAACTTGTTCTCTGGCACTGTTCACAGCTTGGACAAAGCTAAACTGAGCTTTCTGATTATGCGAGGCAAGAGAAAACCTAAATATTTTGTGTCCACAGAAAATTTTACATATTAAACAAGTAAATCCATTTAATTGCCATTAACATCTACTTTTTGCTTTCATCACACAGCTCTCTTTCTCTTTTTCCTCCCAAAGTCTCTTTAGTCCCCTTTTCATATGAAAATCCCTCTCCACCACAACTGAGACTATTCAGAGGGAGTAATGCAGCTCAAACAAACCATCTTTCACTTCTGGGTCTTCCCTGGTCAGATCTGATCTGAGTGAGATTAATTTCTCTTTTAATTCACAGAAAACCACAATTGCTTCTAGTTCATTATGAACCACTTCGCTTTTACATGATTTTTTCCCCTCTCACTATAGTGTTTCCTTGTCCACTCCTTCACCAACTAAGATAAGACTGAGACTTCATCACATTTTTAATTGCAGTTAATTACAAAACACTGAAAGTCTCTGTATGTGATAAACCTAAAAAGCCTAAAAGGGTAAGTTTTAAAATAAAAAAATCAATTATTCCCACAGCTTGAGCACTATGTCCTGGCTGCATCAGTGAATGTATTGCTGTGATAATACCAGCAATGACTGATATCTCTGGCTGAAGTTAAGCACAACCAAGGGACTTTGTGCAGGAACTGAGGCAATGCCCAGGCTGTGAGTGAACTTATTCTGCAGATGTGGTCTGACTGTACTTGACTATTCTTCCCATATTACCTCAAATCAGGTTTAAAAATTTAAACAAAAGGTGCCCTTTTCTTCTTCCCAGATGAAAGAACATTTTAACCCTTTCCGCAGAATTCAAAAAATTTTACTTTTGTACTGATTTAAATGCAAAACAAGAACTGTGTATTTCATACCATTGTTTTTAAAAACAAGCAGAATTAACTCAGGCATGCCTTGTTTTAGGCTTTGGAGCCAAACCTCAGAAACACAGGGTTTATTTCTAATGGCAGAGCTGCAATCCCCTCCACATAAACAGGCAATGTGTCGTGGCTGAGCTCCATGGTGCTCGCACTGACAGGAGCACACACGGGGTAACTCCACCCTGTAAACCACAATCTTTTACCCTGGACACAACCTCTAAAATCACCAAGTCCTAGAGCAGTGCTGGGATGTGTCACAAGGCAAAAGCACTCAGAATTTAAAAATGTCATTTGAAATGAACAGCCCCTAAGCTCTTTAATGCCTCCTGCAAAAGAATTTTCACCAACATGAGACATCATCAAGAAACCAAAAAACAAAACAAAATAAAGAGTAAGTTTGGCAATACCTGAATCCTCACAGGCTGCTTGAACCAGAATGGGTAATGAAATTTAGTGAAATCTCAGACTGGAGATTTGCAGTCAGAGGAAAGCCACTGAGGGGTTCCTTACCGAGGCAGGTGCGCCCGTCGGCGTGGAGCCGAAATCCCGGCCGGCACTGGCACTGGAAGGAGCCCTGGGTGTTGACACAGCCCTGCTGGCAGCCCCCGTTCAGCACCTCACACTCATCCACGTCTGCAGAAGGAAGGGACACAGTGAGGAAGGATTACAAGAGACCCTGGTTCTCCTGTCCTGCAGGGCTCATCCGAAACGCAGCCAGGGCGCTCGGGCTAGGTTGTTGTTTACTGCTTCATTTTGGCAGCAAAGAAAAGTGGAATTTTGTGGTATTTTTCCAAGTTCCTGCAGGCACTGCCTCTGTAGTCTCTGCTTCTGAAGTCCTTGTTAATTAGAGTGACATGGTTCTTACATTGAGAGGCCAAGAGAAAAATAGAGGGGAAGAATGAGGGTTAGATAACACATCTGAGCCTGTAGGAACTGCTGGTCAAACCTTTGGCTTTTATAAAACCTTGCTCTATGAACATTTCCTTTTAGCATCCCGCCTTTAATCCTCTTTATTCTTGGGGGTACGAGCAGGTACAACTGACATGAATGGAAAAGAGACACATTCTCCATCACCATTACATTTTCAATCATGGATAGCACAAAGAGGTTAAAGAGAAAATTTTAAAAGAGTGAGGAATTTGTGCTGCATTTTCTGTGCCCCTTGCATACAGTCATAGAATCAGAGAATGTTTGGGATGGATGGGACCCTAAAACTCTTCTCAACCCCCTGTCAATGTGCAAGGACACTTCCCACTATCCCAGGTTGTTTCAAGCTTCGTGCAGCCTGGCCTTGGACACTTCCAGGCAGGGGGGAAAAACATTGTGCCTTGTTCTTCCTTGTGCTCACCTAAACTTTCCACAGCATCTTCTCAGACAACCTCCCAGAAAAATGGTGTGAGCTCCTGCTGATATTTTTTCCAAAGCTAAGCAGGCATCATTCCATATTTCAGGGGATTTTAGAGGATTACATTCAGTCAAATGAAGAGGCAAACAAGCATTAAACCAGCTTGAGAACACTGCTGTAAAGTTCCAGCTGAAAATGGTGGACAATGATGGACAAAGATCAAGAAGAGTTTAAGTAAGCAGGTGAAGGTCTAAGACAGAATCATAAAACTGAATTTCCAGAAGTACCACATAAGCACTTTCTGCACCTCTTCAGCAATGCTGGGCTACTGTAAATAGCATTTGATTGACATGTTGACACCATTACCTTAAAAATCAACACGGGGGTCATTGGAAATAAGGGTCAATTAGTCCATTCCCTGAAAAAAATCCACCTGGCAGATATTTGCCTAGATTTTTTCTGTCCTTTCCTTAGCAGTCCCCAGGGATAGCAACTCCACCTCCCACCATCTCCCCCAGGGGCAATGCTTGTCCCAAATTATCCGAATACCAAAGATATTTTCTTCCCCAAGTCAAGCCTCCCTCCTGCAACAGACATCTCTAAAGAACCCCCCTTTCAACACTGCAGCCTCCTGCTGATTTAATTGCTCATCTGATCATGTTCTGAAATTATCTAATGGGAGGCAAGTCCACAACTGCTCCTGTGGGGGAAGCGAGTCCACAGTGAAGGAATTTCCCCCCCATATTGCACTTGAGGAAAAAGGGGTCTGGCTTTCATATCTTTGCTGAGGTTGTATCTGTTTTGCATTTAACTTTCATGGTTTACATATTTTTTAATGCTTTTATGTTTATTCCATTTTAGAAAATCTAATCAAAATTAACTGAAAGAGGAAGTTTTAAAGACTTGGAAATGCACAACATCCCGTTCCTGAGGAAATGTATTTATGAAGTTGAATTTTAATACTTCACATGTGAATTTCCCTCACCTAAAATGAAGTCCTGGTGTTGACTGCTGTTTAAATTCAGACCATTTGCTAACATGCACCTCTTTTTTGATCCTTCTGCTGTATTTGTTGTTTTATTAGACTGTATACTACATACATGTCCTAATGCCTGGAGACATCTGGAATATGCTTTTTTTGAAACAGAAATTTTGCCTTTTAAAATGTAAACAGTAAACAGAAAATGTTATTCACCTTGTTTAATTCCATACCGCTAAGAACCAGACTGCTGAAAAATGCCAGGACAAAATCAAACCCAGGAAACCCTTTGTATGGAGTGTCAGAGAAATAAAATAAGCAAAAAGACTCAGAAAAATAGAACAAGGAAGCAGCTGAACCACATAGTACACCACATTCCAATATTTATACCTCAATAAACTCAAACACTGGGAGCGTCAGTATTTTAATTTTATAGGCTACGATCAGCTAGAGAATTTCTCTCATATACCAAACACAGTTTTAAGTTCAGATATCGGCACTTACAAAGAAGAAAAAATAGTCCAGCTAATAAACACGAGCTGGGAGTTAGTGATATTTGTTAGTCTCCATTTGGAAATTTAGAGGAGTGGCTTGGTTTATGGGGGAGCTCTGCACCCTGCAGCAGCTCTTCCCTGAGCAGCACTTCCCTCGTTCTGGCACAGCCCAGAGAGCCATACAACAGTCATACTTCTGCAAGGCAACACAATTCAAGGCAAAATAAAAGATCCTAAACCACTTGTGCCCATGAGCTAAGGCAGCCCCAGCCTGAGCCTCCCTGCAGCAAGAGGAGGCGAGACCCAGGAGCTGAAAATGCAGCTACACGACGCCACCTCGACAGCAAATCTGATGACAGATGATCCCTTCCAGGCCCAGACTTCCTCTGCAAGATCAATATTTTAAGGATTATATGCTGAAAGATTCCTTCACATCCAACAGATAAAATCAAGAGAAATGCAAGGCGCAGTCGCCTTTCAACGTCTCCTCCATCTCAAGGCCAGGAAACAGCTTCGCCCCCAGTTACAGCAGAAAAGTTCCCTAATTATTTTGTCTGAGGAGCAGTCTGCAAAGCAGACACTGATCTAAATGCCTGAACTGCATTTGGAAGTTTTAAAAGTCTAAACTATTTGAATATTCACCTTTGAATTGCTGTACTAGTAAAGGACACATAGCAGCAAAACAACAGCTTCTGCTTTTGTAGGTACACAGGTGGACATATTTTTTTCTACTTGGCTGTAGAAAGATGAAATTATTCTAGAACAGCAGATGTATAAAAAATATTTAAAAGCATTCTTGAAATATAAAGCCCTTCCACTGCAATTCTAGACCATCACAGGATTATGGAAGATTGTATCTGTAGCTGTGATTAAATTTGGATTAGTTTCCAGTGCAGATCAAACTGAAACACCTTCCTGCTCTAATTTCTGTAGTTACAACCTAGGATGCTTATCTGAATAACCTGAATTTCAAGCCACTTATGGCTTGCTTATCACAAGTCAGACTGTGATGAAAGCAACTGCATCCCCACAAGACAGAGGGAGAGCAATTCCTGGCGACAAGAAGGAAAATGAGAGCTGTGTGCTGTCTCCAGGCTGTCTTGCCAAGGAGATTACTCTGCTGGGTGAACAAAGCAGAGGTGGTGTGTGGATATTCTCCTTCTCACCTTCAGAACATTTCAGAGATGTTTTACAAGAGGATTCCCCACTGAAGGTATCTTCCTGCCTTCTTGTTTACTCAGCTTTCATCAGGAATTACCTAATACTCAGTCAAACAAACCAAAGCCTGTGTGTTCCCAAGACATAAAATGTTTTAACCACATCGTTTTTAGCTCTTCCTGCTCCTGAGGGCTGTGCTCCTTCCTCCATCCCAACACCTCAAGTTCCAAACAGAGTAGGAGAGGATGTGATATACAAATGCCCAACCCACTGCCAGCACCGTGCCCTTTCCACGGGCAGATCCCACAGGTGAAGTTCCACATTGTGAAATCCTCCACATCCCTGACTGAGGGCCCTGCTGATCACCAAGGAAGTTGGTCCCTAATTGATTTGATTAACCACGTTGACAGAAGTCCATTTGCCCTGCCCAAAATCTGTTTCAGTACAGAGCTGTGTGACTGCTTGTTTGGAACTCAGGATTGTCACATTAAATGCTTTTTTCATATCATTAGTAAAATGCTCAAGAACAGCTATGATCAATCAGTTCCTCAAAAATACACAGAGAGCAGTAATAAACATAGATAATTAGTGAACCTGCAATTATGGTTTTTAAAAAGGAAGAAAGAAAGCAAGATCCTGCCAGATCAATTCTCTGCTAACAGAAAGCTTTGCTTTTTAGACCACTAAGAAATGCAAACAAGATACAGATCTGAACTCCAAAAAAAAAAAAAAAAAAAAAAACCCAAAAAAAAAAGAAAAACAGCAGGATAACAAGCCTCCATTTTGAGAACCCTGAATGAAGGAGAGATGATGTGCCAAAGGTATCCCAGGGATGGTATTGTCACTGCCAAAAGCTCCACATGACACAGGGTCACAGCAAGGTTTGCCTCTCAAGAAGCTTCCCCCAGCCAGTGGCATTTCTTGAGGGTAAAAAATGAACAGGCTTTCCCTCTCTTGACCATTAAAATTTGCAGATTGAGAACTGTTCAGAGTCAGTATTTTCTGAGAGAGAAGCAGACAAAAAACTTCGTCTTCCTAGTGCCCAGGCACTGATGGAGGAAAAGCCAGCAATGGACAGGACCAGCCTCACCATTTAGAGCAGATATTATGAAAAATTTTGTCCTGGTAAGGATCATAAAGCATTGGAACAGGCTGCTGGGGCAGTGATGGAAATGCCACCACCCCTGGACATGGTTTAATGGTGAGCACAGTGGTGGTGCTGGCCTGACTGCTGGGCTTGATCTTGAAGGTCTTTTCCGACCTCAGTGGTCTCATGATTTCAGGATTATATTTATTTATAAATTTGTTTTCGGCAAAATCTCTTCACTTTGTCAAGCAGAGAACAACACGGAGAGGCAGAGACCAAACAGTTGTGAGCATCACCCACCCCACAAACACCAGAATATGGTGTTTTTCCATATGGATGGAAAGATTTCTGTCCAGCTGATGTGAGAACCCATTCCTTGATGGCACCTGCACACAGGGACCCAAACCCCCACCACAGCATCTGTGGATCTGGCCCAAATTGTTTTCACAAAAGCATAACTACACCCTTTTTATTAAATGCCTAAGAAATACTACATAAAACAGGAATGAATGACACACAAACATTTCCTCTTTCCAGCCACCACAATCCCCCAGCTTGCTGCAGAAAGGA